CCTACAAGAGATTTAAGAATTTAAGTGAGGAATATGTGTCATTTATGCAACATTATATTTAAAATAATTATTCTAATAATAATAAATTCTAAAGATTTTAAGCATTTGCATGTACTATACTACTAACAGCAGCACAGCTTAAATTACTGAAAATAATAGATGGACAGCAAACAAAACTTATTCTCATTTTTGCCTAGGATAGCTTTATCAATTGCATCAGTCTTTGGGAAGAAGCCCACCCTGACATCTGACTCATTCAGCCATTAAGTCATCTCCAAGAGATCTGCTGTTCCTAGAGGTAAATACTCAACCAGCAAAACACTGTAAAACTGAAAGTAATAGTTTAGTTCTGTTGCAAGATATTTTCTGGTTTAACTTAAGTGACAATAATCAAGACAAACCATAGACCAATTTTCTTTAGTGGATTAAATGAAATGAGACAGAGTTTTAGCATGTACAACTTTAGTAGGAACTGTAAATTCATGTAAGTTGTGTAAATTCAAATCATAAACATGCTTAATTCAATTAGATCTGTTGAATCCATAGAACCTGCAAAAAACATGATATCCAAGAATCACAATTAATAAGTTGCCTTGTAAGCATTTCTTTCTAGGACAACAGAAACCCCAAAGAAGCCCCAAAGAAAGGTATGTGTTTGCCAGTTTCCATCTTGCTTTGTTTTTCCAGTTGTCTTTACCCAACTTGAAGATAATTTATTTAACTACGGAAGAACAAAATAACATTTTTAAATTGTATTTGACAATTTATCCTTGTGTTAGTGTAGTAAGGAATTTGACATACACAAACTAAATCTGTTTTAGATGGCTACTAAGTTTAATTATTTCAATTGCATTTGCAAAGTTGTTATACCATGATCTTCTATTTTAAACTTAGAGACAGAGTTTAAAAAAAAATCCCATGCAAAATTATTTAAAAATACACCACAATTTGCATTTTTTTTAATTTCTTTTCTCAGTCAAGGCTGAAAGCTACTCACATTACAGCAATTTGCCATGATTATTAAATTCCCATTCTAAATGTCTGTCTGTAACCAATCTACCATTTCTGTTATGCTCCTAGGAAAAAGAAGGGTAACATGAGTTTTATCTAATGAATCCATGCTTTCTTCAGCTAAAATACAGGAATTAGCAGGACAGGAAAAGACACCTAGGAAATGGAAGAAAATGGCAGCAAAAGAGCCCTACAGAGGTAAAAAATAGTAAGTCATTCACTGCGATATTAATCCACAGGTTTCGTAAGTAACATAAGGGGGTTTTATCCCTAGTCCACCCCTGCCGTTACACTTTTTTGGATATCTATAAGCACTTTTTTCAGCTTCAGTAGCACTTATTGGCTCTCTCTTGGTACTTTTTTTTTTTTTAACCAAGGACTTACCTAATGGCACTTAAAACAGCAGCAGCAACTGCATCAGAAATATTATGCAACATGTAATTTATATTATTTAATGAAAAAATAATTAGAATTCTTATTTACTCTATTCTCACTACTGGGCATTTTTACACATGCAAGTGCTGCAGCACCAGGCCCTTTTGCCAGGTGCTTTGAAAAGCACCCAGCACTGTGACGCATACAGTTGTATAAGTGGCAAAATGTGCGTCAGCGCTGAGAAAATGGCAGCAGTGTGCTTTTGAACTAAACACATCGGAGGTGCTTTAGTTCAAAAGCGTACCGCCACCATTTTCTGCACGCTAATACACATTTCGCCGCTCACACAACTGCATATGGCGTGGCGCAGTTCGCTTCAGCTCATGTGCAGAGCAGACTCAGTTAATCAAGTCTGCTTTGGAAGTGGCTGATCTCCAGTGTGTGGCAGGAAAGAAAAATATGTGTATAAATAGGTTCAACTCTCCAGTTAATAAGTTAAACTACATATGAGGTCCTCACCCGAAACTTTGCAAATTAACAAAGAATCTTAATCAAGCTTCCACCTTTACTATAGTCAAAGAATCTATTCATAGGCAACCTGGCTGATCTAACTGTTTCAGGAATAAGAAAAGCTAAGAAATTAAAAGATAGAAAACTCCTCACTTGACAAAATGCAACTTTTGGAGATTTTTTGTGTCCATTCTAGTCTTTATTTCATAACTTTTTTGGCAAGAGGTATGAATTAGTAACATGTGGCAAAACCTATTTGTATACTTATCTAATGTAAACAGTGTTATGTTTAAAATATATTACATTACACTTAAATATGTTTAGCTGAAAAAGAAAAATGCAGTTCCAGTAACCTTTGAACATGCAGTGAATTTGACAGTAAAATTATGAGACAAAAGTCTCCTAAGGCAGCCAGTTTTAGGATGGGCTAAGCAGCACCCTAGCGTACATTAAGGATGGTATAAGATAAGATAATTGGATAAGATAATTGGATGTTATCTCTCTGAAAACATAGACACACAAAAGTACAGTTCGAGAGTGAATCTTTGCTTTTCAAATATCCTGTCTTGCTTGGAAATAAGGGCTAGGGAAATAGCATTATTACAGTAAAATTTGAAAGACTAGCAAAGGCATTTTTTTTTTTAATGAAAGTTGTCTGGTATACATATGCCTGGAAACCAGGTTAATTGAACCATAGACAAACCATTGTGGCATCTTGCAGACATTAAAAAAAAAATGCAATTTACCAGAAGCAGCAGCACATTACTTCAACCCAGCTCTGCTGTGTCTGTAAAGATCAGGCACTTCAGCAGGGCTTTTTGGCATTTTTAGCTAAAAATGATTAAATCAGCTATTAGATAAAAGTGCCCCAAAAGCCCTACTGAAGTGCCCGATCTTTACAGATGATGCAGAGCCAGGTTGAAGTAACATGCTACCTCTTCTGGGCACATGCAGGGCTTGGCACGGGAATGCACTGATTTTAACTAAAGTGCCGTTTTGGGGAGTGGGGTTTTAAATGTCTGCAAGCACCCTGTATGAACTACACATTAGAGATGCAACCGTACATCAGTCCAATATCGTATCAGCACCGATATAAAGAAAGTTTACTATATCGGAAATCAGCCTTATCAGGCCAATAATTTGGCCAATTAATGGCCCATGCATGCATGCAGCTGCAGCGCAACACAGGCAGTAAGGAGCACAGGCCAGCAGCATGGAGAGCTGCCTCCAGCTGGTAAGTCTGATGTGGTGGAAGGGGAGGGGAGAGGGAAGGGGCTGGTGGGACAGATCAAGGCCCCTGCAGTGAGGGATGGTGTGGGGCTAGGGCCAGGGTGAGGACAAACACTGTCCAGCTGGGGAGGGGCGGGCGTGGCACGGAGCCATAGCTCATCTGGGGAGCGTGGGGGGGGGCAGGCAGCTCCCGCTGCTGCGCACCACTTGGCCGTGAGCCACTGGTCCAGCAGCTCCTGCCACTTGTCCAGGAGGGCACGGGTGGGGGGGTGCCCCTGGATCTGCGCGGGGTGGGCTGAGCCCAGGGTTGCACCAAGCTCTTCCTGGTGGGGCAGAGGTACACTGGGAAGGGGCCATAGCGAATTTGTGGCTGCAGCACTTTCCTCCCCTCCCCCCGTAGCATGTTCACAGTGAAGCCCCGCCCTGCCAGGAAGAGTTTGGTGCAGCCCTGGCCCCAGCCCACCCTGCGCAGATCCGGGAGCACATGTCCCCCAGTGCCCTCCCAGATGAGCAGCAGATGCTGCCGCACGAGCCACTGGATGAGTGGCTCCCAGCCAAGCGGCACACAACGGCGGAAGCTGCTCCCCGCTTCCCTGTGCCTCCCCAGACCAGCCGTAGCTCTGTACTGTGCCTACCCCATCCTGGCTGGACAGCGCTTGCCCCAGCCCCAGCCCCACACCCTCCCTCACTGTGGGGGCCTTGATATGCCCCCCAGCCCCTTCCTTCCCCTTCCACCACACCAGACTTACCAGCTGGAGGCAACTGTCCACACTGTTGGGCTGGGTATCAGAAATCAGACTGGTATTGGCTGATATGCCTCCTTAAAAATCAACTATCAGTATCGGCCGCAAAAAATCTCTATTGGTGTACCCCTACTATGTATTGTTAGTTTAACAGAACAGGATTGATTAAATAATAGGTTGGCAACCTCCGACCTCTGAGCCAGATCCAGGACCTTTTTGTGGCCTTGGGGATCAGTGGCACAGAGCTATGCCATGCTACCCATTCCCTCCACTGTAGAGCCTGCTGTTCTGCCATATCTGCATTTATTCTTGCTGTACAGGTATTGGGGATCAGCAGTGAGGGTGAGCACAGGCAACTGGATGCTCTGGAGACAGAAACTTGCCAACCTCTGAATTAAATTATTTTGATTGGACCACTACGCTAACAAGAACTGTTGCTAATCTCCTTCCATTTACAGCCAGGGTGTGGACAGACATAATACTTAGAACATTCTAAATACACTTGAAATGTAAGAGCCTAGATGTACGTACCATTTAAGACCAGTTTAAACTTCCTGGAACATTTTAAAAGTACATCTGGAAAAATCAAGCACTATTTTGAGCCAGTCCTCCTGAACCGGCAGTGTTATGTGCAGACACAGAGCAGTTAATGCCTAGCATCTTGTCAATCCTCCAAGCATCCCAAACTGTACCATTCCTCACTTCCCCACCTAACACATGCAGGGCAGGGGGCTTCTCTGGAATGCAGCCAGGAATCTATGACCTACAGAAACCAGAGTCTGCAAAGTAGAGGCCTCTGTGTCAGTTTCACTTCCCTGCTAGGGACACTGGGCAAGGGTCCCAGGCTCTTTTGGGGTAGACAGTAGTGGGAGTGGAGGAGGTTTCAGGTTCTGGGTATGTGTGTGACCTGCTGCTTATGATTCCCAGAGTCTTCCGGCACTCCCAAGAACTCAATGACTTTTGCAACTCCTGCCCTGGACAGAAACCATGCCAATTTCACCTCCCCACTACAGACCCTGGGCACCACAAGCCTTTCCTAGCTCTTGGCTACCCCTCCACTCCCACCCGCATCACAAATGAGCCTGGCATGCACAGCTGCAGGTCCTATAGCAGGAAGCTAAAATTGACAAACACCTTTCAGGGCAGGGGTTGAGAAGCCCTGGAGTTCTGGGGCGGGGGGTAGCAGAACATCTAGGCTGCCTAGGAACCAAGAGTTGGGGGGCAAGGTCACATACCACCCCCCCAGCACCAGGAAACCCCCACCTCCTGCTCCAGACTTGGAACCTTGGACCTTGAACCTCAAAGCAGAGGATCCATGCAGGAACTAGAACTTACAAAATGCTCTCCAGTGCAGGCAAAAAAGCAAAGAACTTGGGGGACCCAGATCATATATGCCTCCGGACATCACAAGCAGGCACACAACCACTCCCCAGCATCTGGCTACTCTTCCATTCACACCTCTTATCCCAAATGACCCTGGGATACAGTACAAGGTCTGTGCAGGGAAGTGAAATTGGCAAACATGCTTTCCAATCCAAATCTTGCAAAAACAAAAAAAAAGCAAAGATCTTGGGGAGCCCCCAGAGCACCCAACTTCCTGGGTACCACAAGCAGAGGGTCACAACCCACTCAGCAACCTGGAATACCCTCCACTCCCACCACATCCTGCCTCAGTTGAACCTAGGAAGGCAGCATAGGGTCTGTACAGGGAAGTGAAATTGCTCAAATGGCTTTCAGGACAGAGGTTGAAAAGCAATGG